GTTGCTCAAATTAATCATGCAATTGGTGCTGCTGGGGTAGTTAGTGTAGAATGCAAGACAGTGGTTGAACAATACGGGAAACAGATTCTGGAGTTGCTATTATCAGAGGTATGCTGTTGTACTGTTTCTTTATAAATGCTAATGTTTGTGTATAGTTGGTTATCAATATTTCCAATAAGCTGATGCCTTTTCATCTCAATGTTACAGACTCAACCAAAAAGAGTGTGTTCCAAAATTGGTTTATGTAACTTCGATGGCAAGCAAGATGTTAGGTCAGTTCTTCCTGCTTCACCCCCTCCCATTATTTGGTGTATAAATGAACTGCTATTTGGTGTTATTTTATAATTAATTCACATCTCTCTTTTTGTTAACCTGTTTGTGTTTGTGAGATTTATTAGTTATTACGTTGTTTTCCTCTCTGCAGTATGGGCATTGAAAGTGTGGTTGATGTCAATGTGGACAAGTCTTCTGGTGGTATTCATGATGCCATGTGCGGTGCTTGTGAAATGGCTGTAGTATGGATGCAAAATCAACTAAAACAAAATCAGACTGAAGAACTAATTTTGGATTATGCCAATCAGGTAAAGTAGCTTAAAGCCTATGATTGGTTCAAATGGTTCAAATTCATCTCGTGTGCTTAGGCATGTACTTCATTGCAGCTTTGCGATCGCCTTCCTAGTCCAATGGGGGAGTCTGCTGTTGACTGTAGCAATCTTTCGACAATGCCATCTGTTTCATTCACTATTGCTGGAAAAACATTTGATCTCAGTCCTGAGGAGGTAATATATGATTTCTATTCTCTTCACTTGATAAATATTATATATTCAATTTCTGGTAGACACCGTAGACTTGGGTAAGAATAGTGTATGTAAACATAATGGACGATTCAGCCGATATGAATATGCCCTAGTTAGCGAAAAAATTCTTTAGTTTATTTTAAGGTTTGCAGATGTGATTACTTTTTTGCTATTGTCACCTTCCCAGACAAGGGAATGTAAAAAAAAATAAAAAATGGGAGTTTACCATTTGACAAGGTTGATTTTGCTAACTAGATTCTGGTAAGGTAGATTTTAGTAGTCATATGGCTTAAACATTTTCTAAATTTGTGATTATTTTGAAAGATATATGCAGAATCCTGAAACTTATATTTTGTGATTGAGGCATCTTTTCTGAATTTGACTCTAAATGTTTGAAAATACTTGACAGTACATCCTGAAAGTGGGTGAGGGAGCTGCAGCACAATGCATCAGTGGATTCACCGCTCTAGATGTGCCCCCACCTCATGGACCTCTCTGGTATTTTCTTTTTTCCCTTTTCGACTAACTGCTTCTAGTTCATGTCTTCCTATTCTTGTTGCTTATGGTTAGTATCAAGGCCACATTCTTTCTTGTTGACAAATCAGTTGTTGATCTAGTGATTTCAGGATTTGTTTTAGTAGGTTTAATTCAAGACTAGGTTTTGTTCAGGGTAAATTAATTATTAGATGTTATGTATTAGTTCAGCATTAGCTCACTTTAGAGTTGAAGTAAAATTCTGATAAGCTTACATAAGTTCACTTGGCACGAGGCACCGTATGCTGCACAGAAGAAGCTCAGTGCTAAAACTGATGATTAAATATTTGTAGTTCAGAGCTCCAATGAGCTCAATTGAGAAAAATGTAAGAGTTTCCTGGCATAAAGAACAAGTTGTGGCATTTTGTTTCACCTTTTCATAGCTGTTGAACCTTGCTTATGCTCTTCATGCATAGATGAAATTAATACCACACCATCTTAAAGACTTGAAAGGAGATTATTTTAGTGAATGGTTTCTGTTTGATTAACGTTTCCTGTAGTCATGTCCAAAGTTAACTTGTGTCAACATAATGTATGCAGGATCTTGGGAGATATTTTCATGGGTCGATACCACACTGTGTTTGACTATGGAAACCTGAGAGTCGGATTTGCTGAAGCTGCTTAAAACCTTTTAGGATACAACTACACGTGTACAACTTCTAACCTTTTTATAGGGTCACATGTGTTGAAGTTCTGTGAATGTTTGCTAAAATGACGTTGCCTGTATATATCGAAGGATCACTGTAACTTTTAAATTCCGGAGATGGATGATGCCAGTACGAAATCAAGACTAAAGAAACGATGATGACATTTAGATCACTGTAACTTTTCCGATTTCTGCGTTAGATTCAGTGCTTGCCCAATACCAAATGATCTCTTGGTGTCTGGATTTGTTTGTTGTCCGTTAATCATGGAAATAGTCAAGTGTGTTTAGTTTGCATATACTTCCACTGTTTGTTAAATTTTGCAATAATTCTGAAATCTCAAGATAGTTTCACATATATTGATGGTCTCTTTACAAGGAAATGCAATATCTTTCAAATGCAATTGTCGAATCAGTTGATTTGCATAGTATGTACTTGCAGAGTTATGACATTTTACATGTCAATAAGTATTTCCATGTTCCCTTTTATGGTCTGTTTGGTATCAAGGATTTCATTTGAAATTCTGATTTGGGCCAAATGAGTTGTTTGGGTAATACAAAAATTTGAAATTCTGATTTGGGCCAAATCCAAGCCATGAATTAGTTATATCCAAATCTCTCACAAGTAAAAAAAATTACCCCAATTTCTCTCTCCCTCCTAGGTCTTTTTAGGTTTCCCCAATTTTTTTTCTCTCTCCTCCATTGAAGCAACTTCTTAGCTCTCTCTCCTCCGTCGATGTACTCTGTATTACTGAAGATTCTATCCTCCATTAAAGCAGCTTGTTTGCGTTCTCCTCGATCGAAAAGTTACTAAGGGTTTTTTTTTTTTAAAAAAAAAACAATTTTCAGACCACCGACCACCATTGATATGTTAATTTGAATCACAATTTGGGTTGATTGATGTCATAATCTAAATAATGACTGTAGATTTTGGTTGATTGATGCCGATTTCTCATCTAATTGAGTCAACAATTTGGGGATTTGGATGAACATGAGGAGGAATGAGATTTGGATGAACAAGTTGGGGGATTTGAATGTCAGGGAGAAGCAAGGAAGAGAGAATTTTGATAAATTTGAAATTCTAAGTTTTTTCCAAACAGAGAATTTGGAATTGAATGTCATTAATTCAAATTCCAAATTTGAAATTCTAGATTTCAAATGAAATGATTGAATCCAAACACAACCTTAAGGAAATTCAACTTCTCTTCTAATAATTAAAATATATAATCTCTCTTTTCATGTACTTTGGCCGTTCCATTTTAATTGTAATGTATGGAAGTTCCAATGGTTAGCTATAAGCTAGTTTTCTTGGCCTAGCTAATTGTATTTTCAAGGTCCAATGGTCAAGTTAGTAGCTACTAGCTAGGAATTATTTATAGAATAACAAGCAAGTTCCTAGCTATAACTTGGCTAATTGCATTTTCTAGCTTCAATGGTCAAATTGTACTCTCGTACCATTGTTGAGGCTCTTCACACCTCCATAATATCAGTTTGCTTCCTCTCAAAGTTTCAAGAATTCCGTTTTATCCAAATACCTCATAGAAGGCACCAGAATAGAATCCACCATTTATCTTATCTTTTTTTTTGTTCCCCCCATCTTTATCACCCATCCAAAAAAGAACATTACAGTCTTCAAAGATCAGCCTTAATGGGGGGAAATAACACACCTTTTTTTACTCGTCACAAAAGAAAGCACCGTGCTCAGTCGTCTCAACACACAGGATATGTAGAATCAATTTGCACTCCTCTTTTGACAAGGTTTCGCCGCACAGGTACACCTCCATAGCACAAGTTTTTAATTTTGGGAGGAACATTCGCATACCACAATTTCTTCCACACCTGTTATAAGATGAGCGGCCACGGAAAATTTTAAACAGCCTTGAGCTACATAGCTCTTGAGCTACATAAGCACTCTTACGTGAAGCGCCAACTCCAAGCATCAGGAGTGATAAATCTAGGAATCGGAGTTTCGAGAATTGCAGCAGCACAAGATTCCTCAAGAGAATTAATCCTTAGCAAAATATTTTGCAGTAAATAATTTAGTTCAACGGCTGAGAAGTTTGGATATACGAGATATAGTTATATTATCAAGTCAAAGTGTCAGCTTCAAGTTTAGAGGGTTATCAATTCTGGTGAAATACTTCATTATAACCTCTTCACATTGAAAAGATGTATATCAAAGAAGTCTGATAACTTTTCAAAACCAATTCAGGCAAATAACACTATCAAAGAGAAAAAGGATTGATCCAACCTAATACAAGTGTACGACTAGTCCTACTTAGCATTCCCAGATAGACAAATGGCTAGAACAGTCAGAACATTTTTCCAGTTACAACTGATGAAAAAGAACAGACAATGAACATGAGAGACTAAAACTGAATCCATCCAAATGTTTTGTTATATTTCAAAGCAAAAGCAGCATGCTTCCTCCAAGATCGATATCCAACAGACATTTCCCGTGCCAAGATCAAACCGCACAGCCAGGGTAAAGCATCCAATTCCTTTTGTCTGTCAATATATATGAATCAAGTACCCTGAATTAAAAGTTCATCATTAAAAGTGCGTTCTTTCACCCGAATTGACTCATCCAACTAACTAACTATTAGAACATGCTTGATCTTTATCTATGTTTATCTGAATTCTGAACCAATATGAAGCAGGTATTTTTAAGGTGAAGACAGCAAAGCCGAAACAAGGGATCTACAGAACAAGCGATGCTGAACTAACTGGAAAAAAAATGGATGGACCTATACAATCAATGAACACTATCCAAATAAACAATACAAACAATAATCAAGCAAACTCTAATTCCTGCACTGCAATTCCCTTGATTAGACGATAATCATGTCATAGTTAGCCTCCCCTTTAAAAGATGATAACAATGATAAAAACTAGAAGTGAGGACAGTCATCAGAAGTGAGGATAGCAATAGATTGTAAATTGAGCAAGTAAATGGACTTAAGTGGAAGTAAAAACATGGTAATTATTATCCTAAATAAACTTTGATTCTTGCTTTTTAACTTACTTTAGGCTTTTGCAGTGTCTGAATACAAAAGGTTAACCGATGCATGCTTTGAGACCCTTTGGAAAGCTTGCAACTTCTTTGAAATTTCAAACAATTCTCTGCCTGTAAATCCAATTGCTTCTTGAGATTGAGCATTACAATCTGCAAAAATGGTTAGCTTATCCAAAACTAACGCGTTTTTGAGAATAATTCTAGCAAGGTCAATCTGTGCATCACATGAACTCCGGAGCAAACCATTCATGGTAACATTATTCAAACATTGATTCAAGCACTGAAAACTCCACTTGTCCTCTTCATATGGTCTGTAATCACCATTCTCAAGCTCGACCAGTTCAACACACTGCAGATAAAAGAAAGGGTGAAAATCCTAACCTCGCAATATTAAGACTACATGACATTGACAAAGTAACACCTATAAACACTTCGAAACATACCTTCGGTGGATACCCCGATGGATCACTGATGTTAATGATGTAGATTATTAGTTCTTCAAGCCATGGTGAGTATCTTAGTAAACTACTAACTTCTTCGATAAAGGCCCTACTCAACCATGTGTGTAGTACGACACGTTTCCACTTGTTCCGTGGACACGGATGATTTTCCAGCACACGGTAAGTTAGCACCTGAAACATGAAGTCACTAGAACTTAATTTTCAGAATCAACCAGAACACATAATGACATAATCATCCTAACAAATTTTAAATTTTCTCCTTCGCAAAATTTATCAAAAATTATGTTCATGTGTACGTTGAATCATAGGCATTGAACCTCTTATTTTCCTCTTCCAACCAGAAGCATTTAATTACATTGATCATAGACATGAAATTTCTTATGTACTTAATTGTTTATACCAAGCTCAAAGCAGTTACAGTTCGCAAATGCATAGTTTTGAGGCGGGATATCTAGACTGAATTTGAAGTATACAATTTTCTTCATTACTAACTACAAGTACTCTACTTTCCATGATAAAGCTGTGATTCTAACGCTTTGTTAAGTTCTACTACCTTTTGTTCCATGTTGTTCTATACACTTTCAGTACATTTTTGAAGAAATTTTTTGTTCACATGGTTACTTTTGCCACGCACTTGTGACATAGTAAGTTTTAAGGGTACGTTTAGCAACGATGTGGTTTTCTATTTTTGGGTTTTTGTATTCATATATCATATGATGAATCAAATATTAATCAAACTTATTAAACTCATAATAATTTTAAAAGGTGACAACAAAAAAATGGAAACACCTTTTTCTTGTTTCCTATTTTTTGTTTTTTTGTTTTTTTTTGTTTTAAACAAAAGGAAAATTTGTCTGAAGGGATTCATATGTTCACTATTTGTCTGGAAGGACCTTATATGCTGAAAGTTGTCTAAAAGGACCTTATAAGTATGTTTTGTTGTTTTGAAGGACCTTGACATCGGAATTTGGCAAGTTGTCTAAAAAGACCTTATAAGTATGTTTTGTTGTTTGGAAGGACCTTGACATCGGAGTTTGACGTTTGATTTTGATTCTCCGGCATTGACTCCCCACGTGCATGTCACATGGCATTAAAAACATACCCTCTCCCTTTTTTTTGCCCTTAACATTGAAATCCCGCGTTTGACTTTGCTAGTGTTTTGAAGGCTGGGGTTAGAGGGAAAAAAACGGAGAGGGTAATTTTTTAATGTCACGTGACATGCACGTGGGGGGTCAACCCCGGAGAATCAAAGTTAAACACCGGATTCTGATGTCAAGGTCCTTTTAAACAACAAAACATACTTAGGCCTGAACTGAAAAACGATGTCAAACAAGCCCTTAGCTTTGATTTTATTAGAGCATTAACTCTCACCATGTACAACAATTTATTATATAGGGCTAAAAGTGCATTCAAAATACAAACAAAATACAAAAGATTAGGAATATTCTAAAAATCGAGGAGAATTACATACTGTAAATGGCACACTGCCAAGCATCAAAATTTCAGCATGTTGAACTTGTTCCAAAAATCTTTTAAATTGACGAAGACCTTTGTACCAAAAGAATTTTACTATTAGGTCTAACTTGTGATCAAAGGATACCTTCTTCACCGAAAAAAGGTTGATCAATTCTATAAACTCCACACATCCTGAAAAGCAAAATGACCTTACATTTGGACAGTTAACAGTTAGCTTCCAGTGCCTATAATTCATACAAACTCGTAGATTTCTAATGTTAGGAGCAGTAAAACTCAACTCACTCAGCTCATTACAGTCAGTTATTCCCAAATCTTGAAGCAAAGGACAACAACCTATAACCAAACAAAGCGACTCTTTGTTGATGCTTACCTTATTAAGTGTCAAAATCTTTAGTAAACTCGTGCAAACCTTATTGGGAGGTTTTACTTTACAGTTTAACAGTCTTAGTTCAGCAAGAGATTCACTAGCCCAAACAAAATCAGGAATCTTAAACTTCCCTTCCACTTGTCGTAATACCCCGAAATTCAAATCAAGCACTTCAACCCCTCTAGTTAAGGCGAATTTGACCCACATTTCAACTTCGCTAACTAGTTTATAATCCATGCACTCATGGTATACAATAGAGTATCTTGCACTCAAATATTTTAGCGAGTACTTGAAACTCACCCTGAATTTTCGAATTTTAACACACTTATGTAGCATAATACAATATCTAACAAAGCGAATGAACTTTAAAGTGACATAGCCTTCGTCTCTAGTACTTTCTTCATGGAAGGGATGATCGTCAAAATCTAGTAAATCGATTGTAGTCCATAGATTAGCAAACGTACGAAGCTGGACAGTTTTAATGGCGTCGCGAGTCGGCAAAAAAGATATAATCCGAGCAAGGATTGTATCAGGTAAGGTGTTCAACCATTTATAATCGACATTTGACATAATATTCGATAAACAACTTAATTTTCAATGAAAAATATGATAAAAGCACCAAAACCAATAAATGAATAAATGTTAACTTAGGAAATGTGGAAAAGGCAACAAACAATTGATTACGAGTACATAAAATGAAAGAGGAGATGCTGAATATTATACTTGAATCTAATTTAATTATCTCATGCTCGTATTCTCTTGTTGTTTCTATCTTTTGTAAGGGATTGATATGAATTGACCTCCTTAATGTTTATAAATTTCTATCTTTTCAAGGGAAGTTAAAAAAAAACTCCTAATTATTATACCTTTTTAAAACGAATAGTCTTGACCGTTTATTTTTGATATTTAATCTTAACTATTAAATGTATATTTTTTTTCTTCAATACTTCCTCCGTTTCTTTTTAGTTGACACGTTTTTTTAGTCACGTTTGCCAATGCACATATTCAACTGTCACTGTTTTTCCTCAAAAAAAAAAAAAAAAAAAAGAAAAGCTTAAATTATAAAAAGTTGATATTTTGTAAATATATATCATGAAAAATCTAACAAGACCCCACATGACTGAGTAAAATATAATATTAGTCCTTTATGTTTTGGGTTTGTTTGGATTTAGTCCCTATAGTTTCAAATGGTTGAATTTAGTCCCTTAACCACCACTAAGGGTTGTCCAATTGCTGAATGGACCAAACTTGAGGGAAACGTTTGTTGATTTGGCAATTTATCATCAAACTTGAGGGAAACATTTAATGATTTGGATTTGAAACGTTAAACGTTAGGGATCTGCAAAAGATGAGTAGGCAAAACATAAAGGACCAGAAGTCATTTCTCTGATTTAATTGCTGAGTATATTTGAGTTGAGGGAGTTTTGATGATATCTTCACAAAAAAAAAAGTTGTTAAACATTAAGGACTTCAATAAATGCATTTTTAATAGCCAAAATAACTGAAATTAAATGTGTATTCCAAAACTAGCTGTTACAGTTCAACATGGCTATATAATAGTCTTCATCTTCAACACAGTAAATGATTTGGACCATCACCAAAAATAATCATCTGCTGCTTCAAGTAGTTTCTTTGTAGAATTCTTGAACATTTAATCATTCAAGAAAAAAAAATCAGTCAGTTTTAATAATGTCTAGTAACAGCAGGGGTATTTTTTTCGACAGAAATTCCGTCGGAATTTTCCGTCGTAAGAGGTTTTCCGGCACCGGCATATTCCGTCGGAAAGTGATTTCAGGAAATTAAAAAAATACGCCGCGCCACCACCGGTATGGCGTATCACCACCTCCAACCACCTAAAATGCCCCTCTCAACCCCACCTGCACCCCAATATAACCGAAACACCACACCAAAACCCCACCAAACCCACACCACCCACCCCTGACCGAATACACTAACAAAAACCGCACCAAACCCACACCACCCACCCCTAACCGAACACTAACCAAAGCCCACCAAACCCACACCACCCACGCCTGACCGAACCCTAACCAAAACCCTACCCAACCCATACCCAAATTTACCCACCTAAAACACCCAAACCTAACCCAGAACCTGCCCGAACCTTACCAAACCCACCTAATCTAACCAAATTAACCCACCCCACCCTAACCCTTATCCCTGGCGCTACCCAAGACCATCGCCACTAAAAAACATAAAAAAAAACACCGCCACAGCAATTCAACCACAATTCACCGTAAAATTAAAAAAAAAAAATCTTAAATACTAAAAAAATAAGTAAGGATAAAGTACATACCTTGAATTTCACCAACAAAACCCCGAAATTGGCTCGAATTTAGGTTTTAAAGGTTAAATTCGACCGTGAAAACTCTAGAGAATTAGGGGAGGAGGGAGAAAGAGAGGAGTGAGAAATGAAGGGGTAAGGAAGGGGACGACTGTCATTAAATTAGGGTTTTGGAAACTTTTTACAAATTTTTTTAATCTAAATTCCGTCGGGAACCCACTATTCTATCAAAAATTAATTCCGTTGGAAATTTCCGACGGATTTACGACGAAAATTCCAAATTCGTCGGAAATTTTCTACGGAGATTAAATCCGTTTGAAATTTTGTATTTTTCGACAGATTTTCGTTTCCGTCAGAACCGTTCTGTCGATAATGGACGATTTTCTAGTAGTGACCCCTTGTCTTCTATTTTTTTAGGTATGTGGTTAACTTTTTTTAAGGGGTGGTGCAGAGATTGTCTAATCTGAGATTGGGCCATTCTTGTGGGTCATTGAGTGGCTCTAAAAGCATTGGTATGCTAATGTATAGGTTGACTTTCTGAAGTTATCATTCACATATGCTTCAAGCTGCTCAACTTTGTTCCATATGGCTACAATTATATGTTTGCATGGCTAAGTTGACAACATACTTAGTTTGTGTTGCCCTTTCCCTAACACCTAACACCATAACTGAAGCCACCATCCCAAAATGCAGTCCATCCTCTTGCCCAAACACTACTAGAAATTGGCTAATTTCCGACGGACTGGTTCCAACGGACACGAAATTCCGTCGGAAACATGTGGAATTCCGACAGATTTTTTTTCCGTCGGTTATTTTCGACGGATTTTAGCAATCCATCGAAAATTTACGGCGGAATATAACTTCGTCAGAAAAAATGGGCTTTCTGACAAAATATTTCTTCGGAAAGTTAATTTTCCGTCGAAATTTCCGTCAGAACATAATTTTAAAAAAAAGAAAAAAAAATTGAAACCCTAAATCCCCTTTTTTTTATCCACCTCCCTTTCCCCATTCTCCTTCTCTCTCACCATCTTTCCTCTCTCATCTCCTCTATCTAATGCGCTCTCTCCTGTCCTTCTCTCTCTGATGCGCTCTCTCCTCGTTCCCCTTCCCTCGCTTCTTTCCTCTTCTCTTTCTCGCCTCTTTCTTATCCTCTCTTTCTCTCCCCTTTATTTTCATTCTCTTCTCGTCGGTGGTCGATTTTGATGGTATTAAACAAATTAAGGGTTTTTTAAGGTCCAATTCGACCATAAAAACACCATGGTGTTTTTATAGTTGAATTTGGCCTTATTAAACAAAATTCAAGGTTAAATTCGAAGCCAATTCAAGTTTTCAGGTATGTATTTGTTTATTTATTTATTTTTTGTTTTTTTTTTAATTTTAATTGGGTTTCACGGTGGTGAATGTGGTGTGTTTAGTGTTGTATGTTATTTTTTTTTTTATGGTTTGCTAGCGATAAGATGGAAGCCGTGGTGGTGGTGAGTGGGTGGGGATTTGGGTGTTGGAGTGTTTTCCTGGGCTACTGGGTTAGGGTTTGGGGTTGGATGGGGATCTGGGTGTGGGAGGATTTTTTAGGGCTACTGGGTTAGGGTTTGGGGTTGTTGGTGGGCTATTGGGTATTGCAGTTAGGTGGAAAAAGGCTGGGGTTTGGGAAGTGGCGATTGAACGTGGTGGTGTGGGTGGCTCTTTTGTTTTTTTGTTTTTTTTTTGTAGAAGTTTCCACAGAAATTTCGTCGGAAATTTCCGACGGATTATATTTCATCGTTATTTTCCAATGGACTTTCCTGGGACGGAAAATCTCTTCCGACACACAAATTCCGTCGGAAAAGTGTTTCCGACAAAAAAAGTCATTTTTCTTACCAATGCTTTTTCGACAACAGTTTTCGACGAAATTTTGTCGGAAACACGTTTTCTGACGGATAATAGGGTGTTTCCGACGAAAAAATTCCGTCTAAAAACGCTCTTTTCTAGTAGTGAAATCTTGTTTTTCTTTAATTGTTGTTGAATTCTAGGATTTAGTGACATGTCAGCTTCTTTCATCATATCTCTCTTTTGGTGAAGTCTTTCCATTAAACTCGCTCTGATGTCTTCCAACATTGTTATGATTGGTTTGGGTCTGAATTTGAGTATGAATGCATTAAATACTTCGCTCATATTGTTGTCTACACTATCACAACAAGATAGCAGAGTGTAAAAAGCCCAGCACCACTTCCTGCAATTCCTCTTCATAAGGTCTTCAGCAGCATCATTTGACAGTTCTCTAATTCCCTCAATCCTCGAAAGGAAATTATTTTCTGTGTTGCTTTTGGCTATCATCCAGAACTGTTTCCTAAGCTTAAGACTTCCCCCAAACACAACTCTAAAATTGCAATACACATGTCTTGCACACACCCTTGTTTCTGCTTGAGGGAAAACTTCAGCCACTGCCCCAATTAATCTTTTTACTGATCAGACATAATTGTGTACCCTGCACCTTCAGTATTACCTAAGTTAGTTTTTAAAAGGCTCAGAAACTAGCTCCAAGTGTCTACACTCTCAACTCCCATCACTGCCCAAGCTATTGGGAACATTTGGTTGTTTCCATCTCTCCCAACTGCTACCAACAACATATCCAGAATCACCTTCATTATCTGATTCCACAGGGCTATCAAGGTCACTAAATCCCTCAAAATCACTTCCAACATCAACAACACCTTTAGATGTAGCAACCTTTTTCAACATCTCTACCTCCTCTTCATAGGATTTTTCATATTGTCTTTTATTGTTAGCAAGCTCAGCCCTGGCTTTCACAACTTCTTCATCCTCCTCATTAGTACCTTCTATGTCATAATCTTTATATGGTTCACTGTGCCTAGGACTATGGTAACCATCACTCAAGGATAAAAATCACACTCCCCTTGAAGTAACCCCATCAATCCACTCCTTTTCCCCATGTTACTAGTAGAAAAATGCAAAAAACCACCGGTTCAAAACCCCCTTATGCCACCGGTTTTGAACCACTGGGCATTTGGGGGGTGGCAGTACCTCCTTTAAAATCCACCAGTTCAAAACCGGTGGCAAAAACTATTATTCTCATCGGTTAACCAGTGGCATTATATATTATTGTCAGGTGGCAATACTCACTTCCTGTTTTTTTTTTTTTTTTTTTGATATTTAATATATAATTATCATTAAAATTTTATTGTACAATACCAAAAAAAAAACATAAAAAAAAAATTACAACATCAAAATTAAAAAACAAAATTACAACATCAAAATCTTGATTCCAAAA